ATGTGCTGTTTATAATAGGGTTTGGGCTCCTGTGAGAATCTAACGCTACTGCTGATCAGACAGGAGGCAGAGCTTATGCGGTGATGCCAGCGATGGGAAGCAGCCGTAAGTACAGATAAAGCTTTGCTGTACATTGCCTGACTCAGCTCCTGCTGGAGTAGCCTCCAACCACAGGCCACCAACCACAGCCTGGGGGTTGGGCAGCACAGTTGTATACAATAAATATCTACAACTTTTTTCAATTAAAAAAAATCAAAGAAAAGCAATATAGAAAGTCATTATGTATTATCATTTTTCTTTCTTAGAGTCCAGTGGCTTTTATTAGTTTTATCTCCTATGCCATGAATTCATAAGGAATAGGTTGCAGCAATTCAAGTCCTTTCCTTTGCTTCTCACAAGTGTGCTATGCCTATTACACCATGAATTCATAGGGAACAGGTCCCAGCACCTCAGGCTCCTTTCCATTGCTTCTCACAAAGTGTGAGAAACCTATTACGCTATGATTTCATAGGGAATAGGTTCCAGCAGCTCTGGCTCCTTTCCATTGGGTCTCACAAAGGGTGCTTCTCTGGGTGGAGCAGGCTGGAACTTCAGTTGAACCCAGGTACCTTACTCTTTGGCTTCCTTCTTTTTCTGATCATTTTCCTTTACACGTTTCAGGAAGATATCTCGGCTCTTAGAATGCATAATGTGCTAAATACTTTAATCCTCTTGGCAAGAATCTTGCCCTTAGCTTGTTTGTTTACAACAATTCCAATAGCATGCTGGGTAACACTGTAGATTCTTTCGGTTTTGCCATGGTAACATTTTTGGGGTGTGCCTTTTTGAACAGTATCCATTCCCTTGATGTCTACAATATCATTTTTCTTGTAGATTTGCGTGTATGTGGCCAAAGGAACAACTCCATGTTTTCTAAAAGGTCTGGAGAACATGTATCAGGTGCTTCTCCTTTTTCCCTTTGTGTTCATCATTTTGGCAAATTACCGGAAGATGGTAGCTCCAGCCGAAAGGAAGGTCTAAAAACAATTTTCCTAATGTATACAAATGTGTACTTGTGTCTTTGCTAAAATTTCTAAGGATAGTAATGTATACTAATTGAAAAATTACTCTGGAAAAATGCCTTCTAATTACTCAGAAAGTAGCTTAAGTGATGATGAAGACACTGATAGTAAATATTATTGGAGTCTAGATAAAAATGTTTTATGAATATAAGAGAGGGGAAAAAAGTAACATTTGTTAAGATATTATTTTGTGTAATATATTTAAAATGTATGTGTAAATGTTTAACCATCATGTTAGCAATTAAAATATTTATAATTAGACATTGAACTATTTTACCTAAACTTGTCAAGGTTTTTATATTCAAGTTGATCAAACTTGAATCTTTTCATTGAGAAAAGGAAGGATTGCCTTATATTCAGGCATAGTTTAGGCATAATATACCATTTAATAATAAAACTCTAAGATTTTTAAATAATATTTATTATTAATTATATTTATAATATTTATTATTAATAACATTTATAAAGACACATGGTTTGAGGGGGCTCTAACTGGCTAACTCTGGGGCAATCTGAACACCAAAATAATTAAGTACTATCATGAGTTATAAAGTAACTGGGAGGAAAAAGAAATTCAGAAGTCTTTACCAATAATAAGTATATAAATAAATGGAAGAGAAGGGAAAGCTCTGGCTTATATCAGAATGCCAAGGACTGACTGGTAAATGTAGAGAGAGTGCAGGAGTTAGGAAACTATCATTTTTGCAATTACCACAGTAAAGACTGGATCAGATAAGAATCATGAATGAATTTTAAATCAAGGAGGAAATTTTGATGAGGAGCAGGATATATTTTCCTGGTCTTATCATGTCTCCTCACAAGACTGCTTACTAGTCGTAAGACAGGAAAAAAAGTAATTATACAGTGAAGAAATCAGGCATCTCGACTAAGTAATCAAAATTAACATCATCAGAGAGAAACAGATGGTTATCAAGCAACCTCCAAATGTGTGATACCTTGTGAAGGACATAGCACCCATACAGCAATGTACAATCTGAAGCTAATCACAAGGAAATACTTAAAATAAAAACCCCAAATGAACAATAGTTTATTTAAAAGCGGAGAAAGGGATGTATTCTTCAAAAATGCCCATGTCTTATGAGACAAGAAAAGGTTGTGGAAATGTTCCAGATTAAAGAAGGCTAAAGACATATGGCATTAAATGTGATATCTGATCCTAGAGTGAACTGGGGGGTTGAGGGGTGGAAGGATATTATTGCATAGATTGACAAAACTGGAAAACAAAACAGTAGGTTAGATAAAAAGTACTGCATGAATGCTAAATTCACTGAAGTCAGTAAGTACACTGTGGTTATGTAAGAGACAATCCTACTCTTAGGAAATACACACTAAAGTATTTAGGGGTAAAGGGTCGTGATGTATATAACTTACTCTTAAATTATTCAGAAAAACAATTTTTTGTGTATACAGGGAGAGGGTGAAGAAGAAGAAGGGGGAGAGGAGATGGCGGGGGAGAGAGAAAGGGAGGGAGGGAGAGAGAGAGAGAGAGAGAAAGAAAGAGAGAGAGAGAATATGAATGCAAAACAAATGGAGTAAAATGTTACCAATAAATGAATTTGAGAAAACAGTGTACAGTTCTCTGTACTAATTTTATTTTTTAAACTCTTCCGTAAGTTTCAAATTACTTCCAAATAAAGAGTTTAAAACATTGCTATATCTAATGTTAACCCCCCCCAAAAAAATTAAAAGGTTGCTATATGTAAAATATAATCAAATTCTTTTAGAACTATAATATTTTAAAATCTAATCTTATTCTTTTAGAACTGTAATATTCAACATCAAAAGTATCTTTTCAAGTATTTTTTAGTAATTTTAAGATTCACCATTAGTTTTTACACCACTAAGAAAAAAAAGTGACAATTAAAAGATGCTATCAGTTATAAAACATACCAAAATTTCAGAGACGTTGAATATAAAAACATATGCATCCTAAAATTGATTAAATATAGTTTTATATATGGCCAAGCTTTGCAAACAATTAAAAATACATGCATGCATCACTTTGCCAAAATACTGAATGGAACTTTTTCTGTTATCTGAATACTGGCAGGATATAATAAATGGGAACAAAGTGAAGCTAAAGAAAGCTACAGATAATTGGGGGCCAGGAACCTCCTAGATTTAGAAGGGACAGAGGTGGCCATGGTGCCAACCAGCACCTCAATTGCTCCCCACCCTCATCGCCCAGTCTAGAGAATGTGGAGGGGAGAGAGAGGGGATAGTCACAGTATACAAAAGTCTTGCAGAAGAGGCTTTTCTTTCTCTTCATCATCACCAATTTCGCCCAGTCCTTGAAGCCAAGTGAACAGGCACTTGTATTTCTAGTTTTTGCTCCTACAAACAATGCTGTACAATAAATGTCCTTAGATAATGTTGAAACTAAGAAAACAGTACGCCAAAAGGAAGGCCTCAGAAGCAAAAATTTTTCTCTGAGCTTCTGTAGTCCTCCTGTTTCTCAGTCCCATTCTCCCCTGAGGCTAGTCATAGAAACTAAAATCTCTCTTCCCTAAGGCACTTCATAAAACCCAGAACCTCTTTTCCCAAAGCCAGCCATAAAACCTAAAATCATTCTGTGTAAAAACTGGCCATAAAGAAATTATTTGACCTACCTTGTTTGACTGTGGGTCATAAAACACCCTCCCCCCATTCCTGCCAGGGTCCTGTCCCACACCCAGAAGGAAGGAATGCACTGTCAGGCCAAAAAGAATCTAAAAAACATGCCTTGATGAGTATCCCCACACAATCTATTAACATTAGATCATACCCTATTTGTCCAATCACATTTATACATGGTTGCCCATACCTTATTGAACCTAAACATAAAAGTGGACAATTTCCCTGTGTCTTCATTCTGAAGGCTCCTGTGTATACACATTAAATAAATTTGTATGCCTTTTCACCTATTGATCAATCTGCCTCATGTCAATGATTTTTCAGTGAACCTTTAGGGAGCCAAAGGCCTTGGTCCCTACAGCAATGATACTTTTATTTCTAATAGCATAGATTCCCTAGAATAAAACTGATGTTTCCAATTATTTTATTTTTATAGATTTTCCCAAACTGGTTTTCAAAAAGGGTGTACACATACTTAACATTTCCATTAATAATATAAGACTACCCTGTTCCCATATCTCCACCATTACCACATACTTTTTGCAATCTGATATCTTAAGGTTACTTCAATTTGCATTTCCCTATCTATTTGTGAATCAGGACATTTTTACATACATTTGCTAGCCATCTGAATTGCTTTCCTGTGATTTGTCTATTCATACCTTTGCCTGTTGTTCTCCTTCATTTTTTTCTGCCAATTGTTAAGAAATGTATGTATATTATAGACATTAACCTTTCATCTGTCATCTACATTACAAATATTTTTCCAGAATTATCAATTCTTATTACTTTGTTTATAGTATCTTTTGTCCCTACAAGTTCTTTTGTTTTGTTTTCTGAATAGCTTTCCTGTGAACTGGCACACACACATGGTGTGCATTTTTATATTTATATATTTAAAAGATATGCATCTACCTTTTAAAGCTTTTGAAATTCCAGTAGTTAAGCAGAAAAATAATCAAAAGTGAATGAAAAGTTAAGGTATTGATGCTATATGTAAATAAGGAACAGCAGGAAAAATGGATGCGAACAAACGGGGTTGAAGCAATGATTATGGAAAAAATAAAGCCATTTCATGTTTATTTCCCCCATTAACTGAGATTTTTGGTACACCAGTTACATCTAACTTGGAGAAAAAATTATTATATTATTTTGATCCTCATTTTTAATTAGAAAAACTAAAGTATAGTGAAAAGCCACAGGGAGTAATACAACTGGGATTCAATAGTGTATCTCTTAAAACACAGTAACAATGTCAATATATTGCAGTAATACACTGGTAGCATTTAGAAGCAAGTTGCTTACCTTTCAATGGCTAATTCTTTGTTAGAAAGTTGCTGCACTGTAATCACAATCTTTTTCTCTATTCCTTGCTTTAATTTGAAATAAAATTTATCTCTATCCTTAGGCACAGGACTGAAATATCAAAGAGAACACAAATTACCAACACAATAATCCAATAAATGATGAAATAACCTATTCCAAGGTTAGAACAAAACAACAAAGTATTTAAACAACAACACTCTTATTCTTAAGATGTACTAAACTAACCTTGCCATAGGTAGCAAACTATAAATTTCATAGTCAGCAAAACAGAGTTGCTATTAATTTTTAAATGGGATTTATAAGAACCTTATTTTTATCTCCTAACCAAGGTTAAAACCAAGATCTTAAAATTGACATGATATGGTGCTGGGTGCGATGGCTCACACCTGTAATCCCAGTGATGCAGAACAATTGCTTTAGAACAGGAGTTTGAAACCCAGTTTAGTGACAGGGACCCTGTCTCAAAAAAAAAAGAGACTCATCTCTTAAAAAAATGAAAGAAAAATTAGCTGGGCATGGTGGCATGTGCCTATAATCCTAGCTACGTGGTACGTTGAAGTAGGAGAATCATTTGAGCCCACTAGTTCAGGATGCATTCCAGCCTGGGGGACAGAGTAAGACCCTCATTTCTGAAAAAATAACATAAAAAAAAATTAAAAGACATGATATAATTTCAAATTTTAGTTTTTAAAACAAATTAAAAATTAAATGAGCTTATTTAATCTTTTTTAAAACTGTCACATTTCTGGATTAGCTGGTTGGGTGGTCATGAGGGCCTATAACACAGTAGAACCCAAGACAAAGAAAGCAAAAAAAGCTTACTTTCATCAGATACCTAGAATTTGGGATAACCATGACATATCCAAGTAAATATAAATAAAAGATGGACAATGAGATATAGATCAGGGGCAAATTCTAGCCTAGGCCAAACTAACTATTATCATGAATTCATTAAAACAATAATGTTTAGAGTATGGATTATCTTGTCTAAAAAGCAAAAATAACCTGAGTAACTTATTTGACCTCAGACTCAATTTTTTTTTTTTTTTTGAGACAGAGTCTTGCTTTGTTGTCTAGGCTAGAGTGAGTGCCATGGCGTCAGCCTAGCTCACAGCAACCTCAAACTCCTGGGCTCGAGCGATCCTTCTGCCTCAGCCTCCCGAGTAGCTGGGACTACAGGCATGCGCCGCCATGCCCGGCTAATTTTATATATATATATCAGTTGGCCAATTAATTTCTTTCTATTTATAGTAGAGACGGGGTCTCGCTCTTGCTCAGGCTGGTTTTGAACTCCTGACCTTGAGCAATCCGCCCGCCTCGGCCTCCCAAGAGCTAGGATTACAGGCGTGAGCCACCGCGCCCGGCTCAGACTCAATTTTTTTATAGTTAACTAAATTATGGTCAAATCATATATTTCCAGTGACCATTAAAAATAATTTTCAGAACATTTTAACGAAAAAATTATTTCAAGTAGAAAAAAATGTATATATACAATTGTGTAAAAATTCCCCTGAAAATAAACAAAGGGAATAAAGGAAGTGTTAAAAGTGATTGCAAAAAAAAAAAAAAAAAAATGATTACAACTTGTAAGATTATAGCTTTTTATTCTACTTTTATTTTTTACTAAATATTCTATAATAAATATAAGTATTTTTTGAATCATTAAGAAAATCATTTAAATATCAGAAAAGCATGAGAACAGTGAAACATATTCATTCACTAGAGTGAAATATTTATCAGCTTAAAGCCAATACTGTATAGTTTCTAGAAACTTTATATTAGTCAATATTGTATTTCAGGCACAATGCTAATTTTTATTCTTTCCAAATAGCTCACCTAAAATTTCCTTTTCCATCATCTTCTTTTACCTCCAAGGAGACACTGAAGGTAAACACATCACTGTCGGGAGTAGGAATAATAGAGTCTTTAACATCAGATACTTGTCTGGAAGAACGTTTGAATGCTGTACAGAAACTATATAAAATTCTGCTTACCTAAAAGAATAAAAATGGAAATACCATTAGGCAAAGATTTCAACTGTATTCTGATATCCTTCTCTCCTAATTCTTAAATCTACACTCACCTTTCCATGACCACATTTTCTTTGGCCGATAAAGTATACATAGCCTGAGCACCTATCAGTTATTTAGATATTACATGACAAAATTTTCATCATTCATGCATTAATGGGTGGGTAAACAACTGTATATGGTAAATATAGACCATCCTAACTCTAATTACAGCCTAAAGACTCTCATCAAATCTAAGAAAGAAAATATTGCTAAAGTATCCATGAAAAGTAAATTAATTACACACAATTTTTAACTTTGGAATCAATAATAGGGTATCATGTCACCTCACATAAACTTGAGTTCAAATATGAGGTGTGTCTTCTAACTTACTTAGATAAAGTTCAAGAGTAAGTATAAACACTAGAGACCAGAAGAGAACTATGATTTAGGAGCTGCAACTAGGATCTGGGCATCCTTAGAATGAAGAAAGACAAGAAGACAAGGACCACCCAGTACAGACAACAAACAATTTGATGTCCTTAATTCAGAACCTCTCCCATTATAAAAACACAGCAGAGGTGTGGCTACAAACTAACACTGTCAGTGTCAGAGGGAATGAATTTCATTATTATAGAAAATTTTCTTTGAAGACATTCTCAGATAACATTTAATGAAAAGACAACATTTCCTCCAAAGAAACTGCCTTTCTAGCTAGTTATGCTTGGGTATTATTTAGAATGATTTTTCTTTTTAATTGACAAATAATAATTATACATATTCATGGGATACATAGTGATGGTTTGATACATATAATATATAGTGATCAGAGAATTAGCAAATCTATCATGTCAAACATTTATCACTTCTTTGTGTTAGGAATGTTCAATATCCTGTCTTCTAGCTATTTGAAACTCTAAAATATATTATCAACTATTCTACAGTGGTATTCCACTTATCTATATAATTTTGTTCCTTTAACAAATCTTTCCCTAAGGAAAATTTTATTCCATAGAGCAAAGAGTATTTTATTATTATGTAAATTTCCCCCAACCCCCTAATACAGACAGCCAGAATCTCTCCTGTGCCAGATACAAAAAATGAGTTATTCTTCTCTTAGGGAACTTAATAGATGTTATTTATCACTATCAACAATGATTCTTCACATTTATATAGATTTTTAGTTTATAAACTCTATTTATATATATTACTTCATTTGATCCTCCAAAATAACCTTATAAAGCAGGCCTAACAGGTTTTTGCAATGCCTTTTACAAATGAGTATATACAGTGGGGTTCAAAAACTTTCCTAAAATCATTTAGCTATGAAGTGACAGAGCTAACACTAGAATTCTGAGTTGAGGGTTTTTTAAGGAGATTGTCTCCTGAAATTGTTTTGACTAGTTCCTTGCTATCAATAACTTCCTTTCAAATAGTAAAGAAAGAAGAGAATCAAACACAATGAATTTATGTGTGTGTGCCTGGCTAGAGTATTCATAATGAGGAATGGCACTAAGAAAGGATTTCTTTCACTAAGAAAGGATTCTTTTCTTTTACTTAAAAAATAAAAGAGTCATCTTTCAAATTCTTGCTTTGCTTCTCTCAACTCTGGCATTTAAAATGCTAATAAAGATGTTGAACTAATTTAAGTTCACAAAATAAGCTATATTTGTGTATATACATTTATCGCCTTCAAAATATACTATGAAATATTGTAATGAATGGATCCTAAGATAATTACTAAAATGATGCTGCATCTAAATCTTCCCAGTGAACATTCACAAACAAGGTTTTAGCCAAAGTCTTTAATTCCTCTTTTCACTTACCTTAGCTTCCAAGGGCTCAAGACTGAGCCATAGAATAAAGCAAATACCGGTTTTAGCAATAAGACTACATGGTGACATGATTTGCAGAGCTTCCAGAGCTTGGAAGTAGTATAAAAAGTGGTAAATAATTACTCAGTGTTGTAGTAGTATAAAAAGTGGTAAATAATTCCCAGAATGAATGCTTAAATGATCCCATCTATTCCATTAGTATTAGACCACTCTAGTAACTAAAAATATGTATGTATGGCTTGTATTCTTCCCCTAATGTGGAGAAGCACTCTAAATCTCACACTTTTCCAAAAGTTATTCTTTTTCTTGATTCCAAAAGTAGTAGCAGACCATCTCAAACTGGTGAGCTTGAAACACAAAAAATTCTCCAAATCCCTCAGCCTACCACCCATGGGCTGAACAACAAAAACAAGGTGAATTGTGAAGGGTTAAACAAAAGTCTTATTTTCAATACCTCACATTGGGAAGTACAAATAAAGAGATTGCTCTGAATATTAACAAATCCTTCACTTTAGATAAAGTGAATTCAAATTGTCCATTGAACTATATTAGTCTAGGAATATAATATTTGTAACTTACTTCAAACAAGAGCATTCTCTTCAACAGAATTTGTTAAAGTGTGGGGTCTTTCCTCATTTTTTCTATTTTTGTTTTTATTTATATGTTCTGCCACCTTTTCTTGTATGCACAGTCTATCACATTCAAAAACAAGAGGTCCTCAAACTTCCAAAAGCCACACTTATATCAATCAATCACCCTAAACTGCCCTCCAAAAGCAAAATTAATAGTTTAAGTGATTAATACTTTTAACTGTATAGGAATTCTGCCAGCCATCCTAAAGTTCAACTTCTATAGTAGTACCATATTTGTTTTGCAATGTTCATTTTAAAGCATTTTAACATGTTATCCCATTATAATTTTATATAAACGAGTAAAAGCAAAAGCAACAAAGGACTAATATTAATAACAAATGAAGGCCTCAAATCTTACACAATTAAGATAATGATAAATTCATTCATTCAACAAATACGTTGTGAGCACTTTCAGGGTACTAAGTATTATTCTAAGTGATAGAAATACAGCAGAGAACATGCAGCTTAGATTCCAGCAAATGTAAACTGAATGTCCTGGGGTGGATGACAGGGAATCATTATGTATGCCACAAGAAAAAAGGTTTAGCCTCAGCTAGATACTTATTGGACTTAGCTCAGTAATTTAAGTGTTAACAGAGGAAAACAGAATCAAAGAACATGCTAGAAATATGCCACTGAAGATTATACCTACATAGTCAAGTATAAATAGAGACTTAAGATACTTTTAGATGTTTGGGACTTCCCCACTTCCTAACCTCAAGTAAAATGTAAAGTCCATTGTCTACTTTTTATACATTCAATTTCAGTATATTTGTAAGAAAGCATTATGTGTGAAAATCAGGGAACACCTGTATAATTTTATATACATTAGTAGAGTCAAATCCCACCATATTAATTATTTTTCCCCCTGTCTCATCTCTTCTCACTCTTTCATATCCTTTGTTTCAGAGATATCAGCAAGCTTGTCGCATCAGAAGGCCACACAAAAAAAGTCAAAGACCTTGGCAAATTCTAAAGTACAGCACAATGCTTCAGGAATTTTCTTTTCTTTTTTTTTTTTTTTTTGAGACAGAGTCTCACTCTGTTGCCCAGGCGAGAGTGCCGTGGTGTCAGCCTAGCTCACAGCAACCTCAAACTCCTGGGCTCAAGCAATCCGCCTGCCTCAGCCTCCCGGGTAGCTGGGACTACAGGCATGAGCCACCATGCCCCAACTAATTTTTTCTGTTTTTAGTTGTCTGGCTAATTTCTTCCTATTTTTTAAGTTTGATCTCAAACTCCTGACCTCAAGCGATCCTCCCGCCTCGGCCTCCCAGAGTGCTAGGGTTACAGGCATGAGCCACTGCGCCCGGCCCCAGTGTCTTTTCTTATATGGTTCTGTTATACTGTGATAGTTCATTATGATTCCTAATGTCACTGCCCGAGGGATAGGACCTAACTGTAATTCTCTGACAGTCAAACCAATGGAATCTATGATCTACTATCATCCCAACAAGCACTGTGACCAACACTTTGCCTGTAGACTGTTCACAGGGACAAACGTGTCAGGGCAAATGGACAACTATCTATCTACCCCAGTGTTCCCCACTGAGTTTTGCAAGTTACAGTCTCCAGTTACAAACATAAAGATAATCGTCCCTAACAGTATTATAGCCACCTTTCAAAGCAGGATTTTGGATTTTGGAGGCCAAAGAGGGCCAGCTGCTCACTTTGCAGCTCTGCATGGACACTGGCTCTGATCCAGTGAGCAGACAGTGGGAGGGATGCTCAGACTGCATACCCTCTTTCAGATGGGTGTGTCTGTCTGTATCACAAAGCAGAGTATGGATAGGCCACCAATTGTGTTTCTGAATCCAACTCCTATAGCCTCATCAATTAGAGTAATTCCTTCAGGCAATGAGCAGCCTATCACTTTTTTTTTTTTTGGAGATAGTCTTCCTCTGTCGCCCTAGGTAGTCATCGTAGCTCACTGCAACCTCAAACTCCTAGGCTCAAGGGATTCTCTTGCCTGTCTCCTGAGGGACTACAGGTATGCCCCACAAAGCCTGGCTCATTTGCTATTTTTAGTCAAGATGGAGTCTCGCTCTTGTTTAGGCTGGTCTCAAACTCCTGCGCTCAAGCAATCCTCCCACCTTGGCCTCCCAGAGTGCTGGGATTACAGGTGTGAGCCACCATGCCTGGCTGCCTGTCATTCTTTATGCTCTTCATCGGTATGAATTTTCTCGTTTTTCTTTATCTTTTTACATATTTTAGGCAGTAGTTGAGAAAGGCCAAGTCAGGGGCTGCTAGCCAAATATCATTTAAAACTAGAAATGCTCCATTGATTTTTATTGTGATTGCATCAGCCTGCTCTCATTCTTTAGCTCTGACTGCGGGGGTTTCTCAGGGTGCAGTCTTTGGCTAGCTGCTCAATCTGCACTCTCCTGCAGGGGACTAACCTACTCTTACACATGACACCTGATGACTCGCAAACTGCTGTCTCTAGTCTTGTCTTCTCACCTGAATTGTGATCCTTTATTTTCCAACTAAAAGACATTTTTACTTGTCTATCCCATGAATT